ATTGTTTTTTCCCTTGCTTTCCAACTTGCCATTGGTTAGATTAGGTTCATTATTTCTGGGTCTCCTAATAGATGTCGATTTTTCTAATTCAAGTCTTCGTATCTCTTAGCATTTGAGAGGAAAATTTTCCCATCTTATCTTCTGCTGCTGTTATGATTTCTTTTAGTTGAGACATTATATTAGTATATCTTTAGGAGATACAGTAATCTAACACAGGTAGACAATGTTTAGTAATCCAACGGGTATTAATTATTGTCCATTTCTTCAAACATTAATCATTTTTATGTATTGAGAAATTTATACTCTCATAATCACTTTGAAATCTATCCTGGATTGTTTTAACCTAGTTACATTACTACTCTCAAGAAGGACCCGAAGTAATTCCTGAACTCTGTGTCTTGGAGCCCTGTACTGCACCTCTTCCTGCCTCCCCACACCCCTGCCCTTCGCTGTATCCAGTGACTACTATCCCTTTCTGCTGTTCTACAAGATTGGCTTAATCATTTCTGCACACAGTAAGAATGTGATGCAGTGTTTGTCTTGCTGTGCCTGACCCATTTCACTTGACACAATGACCTCTAGCTCTATCTCTGTTGCTGCAAATGGCAGGATTTCATTTTCTTTTGTGGCTAAATAGTATTGCATTGTGTAAATATGCCGAATTTCTTCATCTGTTCACCCAGGAAAGGCATTGCCATTGATTCCCTATTTGAGCAGCACTGTGATAAACATGGGAGCACAAGTGTCTTTTAATGATGTTAGATCTTTTGTGCATGTACCCAGAACTGAAATTCCTGGATCATATGATAGTTCTATCATTCTCTGAGCAATCTTCACACTGTTTTCTACAGTGGCTATACTAATTTACATTCCCTCCAACAATGTGTGTTCCTTTTTCTCACCATCCTCACTAGTGCTTTTTATTCTTTGTCTTTTTCACAACAGTTGTTCTAACAGAGAGAGACATCTTTGTTATGGTTTGTGACTGCATGTTCCCCCAAATCCTCATGCAGTCAGGAGGCAAACTTCTATTCTAGATTTTTGATTGATCCATAGTCTAATGCTGGGATTATGGGTGTGAGTGCTACACTCACCGTGGGTCAGACAGTTTGCACATATAAGGGAGAGAAAGAGACTGCTTGCCACCACTCCTCCCCTTTTTTCCTCCTGTTGCGTTGCTGTTTGACAGCCATGAACAGTTGCCCTCTGCCATGTGCCACTCTGTCTTGGAGCCAGCTGAGTATAGACTGAAACCTCCACAAACTGTGAGCTAAATAAACCTTCCTCTTCTTAATTTTTGGCATCAGATATTTTGTCTCAGCAATGAGAGAAAAGTAACCAAGATAATCTCATTGTCATTTTGATTTTAATTTTAGTGAAACTGGCATTTTTCATGCACTTGTTGGCCATCTGAATGTCTTCTTTTGAAAACTGTCTGTTTAGCTCTTTAGTTTAGTTTTTACTTAGCTTCTTGTTCTTTGGTGTTCGGCCTCTTGAGTTCTTTTTATACACTGGATATCAATCCACTGGTTGGATAGTTTGCTAGTAGTTTCTCCAATTCCGTATGTTTTCTTATTTCTGTTGATTATTTCTTTTGCTATGCAAAAGCCTTCTAGTTTGATATAATCTCATTTGGCTACTTTTATTTCTTTAAAAATGTTTATTAGTACATGTTTGTAGTACATAACATTTACATTCCACATGTGGATGTATCTGAAAAAATCTTTGGCTTGTGCCATTTTTCTTTCTGCTGGCGCAAGCCCACTCACTCTGAGCACAGCATCACCTAATTACACTTCACTACACTTTGCTGCTTTTGCCGAACATTCTGCACCACATCCAGTTCTTTGTTGCATAAAGAACTTATAAACCCATCCAAGATCCCATCACTCACAGCAACATGTTGGCAATCCAGCAAGAGGAGGTAAAAAGTGGCATGGAGATTGCAGAGACCTCAATTCTACCTCTAAACTACAGAAGATGATCTGAGCCAGGGACCTAAGCCTGCCTCTGTATCTATGACTCATCAAAACATCCTCAGAGGAGGAGTGTGGCTCCCTTAGCCCCCTAGGTCAGGCAAGGCCCCGTTTCAGCAGGAAGTAGCTATAGAAAACAGACATTCCATCCTCAGTACCCCTAATAAATTTTCAGGGTCTGTTGGGGTGGGGGTGGATAACATAGTACAGTTAGGGCTACAAGACCACTCCCCTCCACTCACTTGAACCTGAACAATGTCCCAGGGCCAAGCCCCAAATCTTTATCCTAAGGTCTACTACCCCGAGGCAGAGTTAAGAAAAACAAATACCCCTGGAAAATTCTGAAGTCCTGAACCAGGACACATGAGCACCAGATTCTCCAGGACCTGGTATGGTAACATTTCTTTATTTGGAATTTATTAAAGGTTCATACATATGGACTGCATCTCACACATTCAGTGATAACAGAATGAATTGTAGAAAAGGACATGCACAACAGACACAACTGATGTGACTCAGCCCCATGTGATCGTGTTGTCAGCCCAGCTCTTGAAGCCCCTCTGAGAAGTGCCTGAGACCCACCACAACATTTTAAATTTTTCAGCTCAATGCCTCGTGCCATTTTTCTCTCTCCCAGCAGGAGTCTACTCACTGAGTGTTCTATCACCTAATTACACTTCATTAAACTTTGCTGCTTTTTCCTTTAGAAAGGAAAAAAGATCATTACCTGCACCAACAGCTTGAAGTCTTCAGGACATATTTCACATCCAGTTTTGTCTGGACTAGTGCTGCCAATAGTGATACAGGTACTAATTTAACAAGAAGCTACATACCAGTTAGAATAGGACCATTTGTTTACTGACATGTTTACTTTCCAGCAATGGGAGATATTTCCCATAACTAGCAAGAAACTGTCAAGTAAATTAACTGAATAGAACTCGGAGGTATGTACCTATGTAGACAGCGAGATAACTAGCTATGTCTGTTGCTACTTACCTCATCCACTTGCTGCCTCAACTTCAGATTTGCTACACTCAGGTCGCTCAGTCTCTCCTGCTCTGTGTTCAGGTAGTCCTGAGTCTGCTGATAGGCTTCCTGCACATCCTTGGTCGCTCTGTTCAGTTTGCTAATGTCCTCCTTTAGAGAGTCCACTTCCTCGGTTAGGTTCTTGACCTGTGGGAAGAAGACAAGGACAGCTTCATTACCCAGCCACCACTGGCAGGCTGAGTGGAATGCCAGGGCTCGTCTCTTCCTCAGCCCTAAAACTCAAGGAGTAACCGGTGTCATCAAGAGATACTTCTAACCAAATTCCCGATGTAGTTTTTAAAACTCTGAATTCATTTTTTCTTCCACAAAAAGTGACCTATTTCCTGGAATAACTAGGAAATGATAGACTCTGGTAAATTGAATACTATCAATGTTGATTATATGGGAAATTTTTACAGCATCAAATTATTGCACAAGAACAATAATACAACTCCAGGTCATTTAGCTTTTTTGAGGATTCAGGGGGTATATCCTGACCATCTTGTACTCACTCTCTCAAGAAAGTGGGTTCAGGCACACAGCGCTTGCAAATGCGGAAGCCAGCTATATCTGGCTCACATGCTTTCTTTTGAAAATGAATCTGTAGACACAAGAGTTGTTATTTCATTATCTGTCAAATTACACTTTCATCTTGGAGATCAGTTGTTTATCAAAGATTTGATTCAGACCTTTTACCAGTATCAATCCATACATAGATGATCAACTTAAAACCCAGCACTAGGGGCTGGGGATTTAGCTCAGCGGCAAAAGCGCCTGCCTGACAAGCGCAAGGTCGTGAGTTCAGTTCCCGGTCCCAGAGAAAAACCAAAAACCAAAAAAATAAAAAAAATAAATAAAATAAAATAAAATAAAATAAAGCCCAGCACTAAAAAGAAAATGTTGAAGTCTCTAACAAAATTTAAGTGATACCTTCAAGACTGAACTCCAAATCATTGGCAAAGCAGGGGATACAGACACATCCGAAATAACTATTTAGGAAAACACATCATGTTCACTGTTGATCTAGAAAGGATACTTAGAGGCCAAATGAAACCATTGTTGCTCTTCCTGTGAGCTTTTAGCAAATAAAAGCTTTGAACAAGTGAAATATTTCATTTGGAAGATTTATGGGCTCTATAAATACAAATTGGAAATTTGAGTTAGGACAACACAGTTCATCAGACCATTATACTATTCTTATCTGATTCCCACTCTGTAAAAGTGCAAGCTACCATGTTAATTAACTTAAACATAGCACTTTTTTACCTAATACTAATTTGAGAGTGAAATTTAGGCATCTAGGCCTGCTAACATCACAAAAGTTCACCTTGTGCTCCATAGCATGCTTCTCCTTCTCTGACTTCGCCAACATTGTTTCCAGGTCATCGATTTCTTTCTTTAACTCAAAACATTCATCTTCAAGATTCCGCCCCCTGGCAGTCAGCTCAGCATTTATCTCCTCTTCTTCCTCCACGCGCTTAGACAGCTCCTTGACTCTGGCCTCCAGCTGGATCTTGGATTTAATCAGCGACTCGCACTGCTCTTCAACATTTGCCAGGTTCTCCTGCTCCTGCCATGATGAGGAGAAAACTGTTGCCAACAGCCGGAAGTAATTTATCAGTTAGTTGAAAATGCTGCTTCCTACACTGCAAAGAGAAAATTGCCTGCCCTCTGCCTGGCACTTTCACCTTCTTTTCCTAGGGAGCTGAAATAATATTCCCAGGTCCACAGTCCTATAGTTGAGAAGTGGAGGAGTTGCTTGTGTTTGGAAGTGATTTTCATCTTTCAGGCCCATTTAGTAGATTAAATGACCTCCTCTAAAGGACTTAATAAAGCCTGATGGCCTAAAGGAGCCAATATGCCTCTGAAACGTAGTGATGGGTTGCTTAAATCACGGCGTCTAGGAGAATTGATGTAGGCACACAGTTTGCAGTCAATACCTGTTTAAAATAGTCTTTTAAGACAGCACTGTTCTTGTAGACAGTGTAATATTTTGAACATCTTTATAAGTCCCTTCTTGCACTTGCTTAAATAAATATACATATAATAAATTGAACTGAACAATATATTTTTAGATAGAGGTTGGATGTATAATTCATGAGCTTATTTGCCTGTCACTAACTAGACGTCACTATTTTCCTCAATGATTTTCCTCAATGATTCTCCCAGCAGTAAATTTCACAACTTCCATATTTAGAAAATAAAATATTCTTTCCTTTTAACTTTTCACACATACTGCCTCCAACTCTTCCAGAGGGACCCATTGTTTCTGAGTTACAGATGAGGCAAACAATTAAGGATTTTTAAAATTGTAGAGCACATTTCATAACTTTGAACCTCTAACTTGTCTTCTTGAAAGGGTAAATCAAACCTCTCCTTTGTGACAAAGTTTTTAAATACTCTAGGTCTTGTTGAAATATAACCTTTAACGCATCTCTGTTATAGTTTGGATAATGTGTGTCTCATGGAGGCCTGTATGTTAAAGGGTCGGTCCTCAGCTTGGCACCGGTAAGAGGCTTAGAACCTTTACTAGGTGGGCTGTAATGAGAGTTCTTTAGGTCACTGGGGACACGCTCTTCAAGGGAACTGTTGAACGCCAGTCCCTTTCTCTCTTTTGCTTCCTGGCCATGAGGTGAGCAATTTGCATGACCTCCAGTTCCCTGACACTGTCATCCAGGGGCCCATCAGAAGCTTAAAAGCAACGTTCTGCCTCATGGTGGGAGGAAACTTCTAAAACTGAGCCAAAGTAAACATTTTCTTTCTATAATTTAATCATTTCAGATATCTTGCTATAATGAAGGAAGGTAACTAACATAACCCTCATCCTCCATCTCTAGACTTTATCGTCCATCCTCCACAATATGCCAATTTGGGCAATTGACCATCTATTTGAATTGCTAAACTTGTGAGTCTTGGCACCAGTTCAGACTGGAAAGGTGCACATGAGACTCAGACAGCCCAAGGAAGACACACAGGGCCGTGAGAGTGTCCGATGTGCCTTCGCTGCTCGGCTCACCTGTCTGTCCAGCCGCACAGACATTTAGCTGTGACTCATCTCTTTATTTAGCTGCACACACTCAGCCCCTAAGCCAGGCACTTAGTCCTCCAGGCAGCCCACCAGCCCTCACGGCAGTCCAGATTTATGGCACAATACACAGCGGTGGATATGTGCCAGTATCGACCTTGGTTAATTAAATTATTTACACAAAGACCGCAAGATGCACCTGCATTGGAATTCTCCTGACTTGGACTGAATGGAGCCTGAAAATTGCCACCCTCTCCCGGCCTACACTGCAGTGTAGCCATCTTGGACTTCATTTTTCCCTACCTTGTGTCAGCTAATTAGATGAAGAGGAGAATAAAGATGAAAGCTAAACTATTGGGTTCTAGGTAACTCAAAAGAATGACCTGCTGTACAACAAAGAGGGTTGCAAGGGACACAGATGGATAGATATGTAGCAGAGAACACCTCCACACATAGTCTGCCTAATCAAAATATTGGAGAATGAGGTCTAAGCATCATTTCTCTCAATTTTGATGTTTCACAAATGTAACTGACAAACTCAAAGCTGGGAACTCCTCTTTTAAGAACTCAACTAATTAATAATGTTGATTTGAACCAAAGAAAAAGGAAGACAAAAATCAGTAAATACAAAGCCAGACATGGTAGTGCATACCTGAGGCTAAAGCAGGAAGATTGCCATGAGTTTGAGGCCAGCCTGCACTACTTTTGTCCTTTCTGTCATTCCAGTTTTTCTTTGCTATTGAGCAGTTTCTTTCCCTTTGACCATATCTATTGTACCTTCTGGATTTTATTTACCCTTTCAGGTTCTTACACTAGGGAGACAATATGATGCTTACACATGTGGGTCTGATTTATTTCACTTATGAGTATGATCTCTATTTGCATCCATTTACCTATACAAGCCTCAAGTTTATCTTTCCTTGTAGCTGAGTAATACAACATTGTATAAAAATACCACATTTTTCTTATCCACTCCTCAGTTGATGGGCATTTGGGTTGTTTCCAAGATTTTGTTCTGTTTTTTCAAGTTAACACTGCCTGCCATACAGGGAGCATAATGAAAACCTGGATATAAAGAACACATGGTGGGCTCGCTCACGGCCTGCAGCTGAAGAAGCAGACTGCTTCTGTCCTGGCTGAGGGAGACTTGCTCTGCTCTCAGGTCCTCTCTCTCAGATTCCGATCTCGCCAGGGCTTCCCGCAGTTGTGCAGACTCTTCCTTTAGTCTCGCCATCTCCTTTCCTGCCCCAACAGACTTAATAAGAGGCTTGACCTTGAAGAAGAGCCTCATCCAGGTCCAGTTCTTTGCAGCCATGTGAGCTCTTATGTTCCACTGGATCAGAAGGATTGCATCCCTGAATCAACAGTGAAAACAACAGAACTCAGTCCAGACTGTAAAAGTCCTTTACATCATAAATGTCCTCAACAAGAGTCACACACATTTTCATCCCTCTGCAAAGCACTTGTTTATCTGGGTTCCCAGTTGATTGTGACAAAAGCTCTATGAAGGATTTCTGGGTCTGGCTATATTATGGACCAAATGCCCTGAAAATACTCCCATCACAAACATCTTTTAAACGAGAACTGAACCTAACAGAGAATAAGTATGGAGGAAACTAAAAACCCTCAGTAGAGAGCCACTTTTGGTATTGTAACGGTTTGTATTTTCATATCCACATGGATAAGGACACAAGGGAGTGACCTTCAAAGATTTGCACCTTCAGTGAAAAGGACTAACCACCATAATCCCATCGTCAAATGAGTAGCATGTATATTTGAAAGAAAACCAAATTTTAAAAAGGCAAAAGACCTAAATCTGAGAAGTACAATGACTCAGATCATTAAATGGAACAGTTGGGGGTGGACTAGTAATTTAAGAAAAGAATAAAACCCCATCCGCAGGAGGTAGGTTAGCCACAATGGCCCCAAGCTTCAAGGTAGTTCCTACAAGGACAGTCACCAGGCATATACTACCACCAAGCTAGTCATGCGGTCTTCTAGTGCAGTCTTATTCTCAAGGACCTAGGCTCCAGACTTGCTTCTACTGATCAAGGCCCTAGGTTCCTCATCGTGAAATCGGGCATCAATCAAATCCCCATTTGGTGGGTTTCAAATCCATCACCATGGACTCAGGCACAGAGACTTGCCCATGAAGACCCAAGTTTTAAGCCTAACCAAATGAATACATTTCCTGGTGCAGCCTTGAAGATACATTACTGTACCTCACTGAGCATTGAAACAGACACCAGGCCAGCAGGCACTAGGACTCCAGCAGCAAATACGAGCCCAACCAGATGGCCTGTCCTGAGTCGCTGAGATCATTAGTGAAGTGCTTGTCCTGCTGCAGCCACTCTACAAAGAGTGGAAGACATAGATATTTCTTCAATTGTGCAAAGATAGCAATGCAAGGATTGTGAATTAGGAAAATATGGCACCAATGAAGTAACAAAATAAAGCTTCAGTAACTGAGCTTAAAGAAATGGAGAAACCTGACCTCACAAAATCAAACACCAGAGTGACCAAGAAATTTTAAAGATTATTAAAATGAAGGCAAAATAAATGGATACTTGAGGGATCTAGGGGGAAAACATCTAAATTTCCTTTTTTTTTAATTTTAAGGAAAAAAGCGAAAGTTCAAAGCAAAAAATAGGAGAGTAACAATAGTTAATACATTGCATATGGTTATCTTCAAAGTAGTTACTCAGAGTATAAGACCTAGGCATGAAAAATTGTCCAAACTATATTAGCACAAACCTTTCTTTACAGTCAACTAAGAGAAACAATGTATATAGGTATCCTAACTATCTTGTATTTTTTTTCGTTTTCCCTCCCTTTCTTTCTCCTTTCCCCTGCCCCAGTTTCTCTTTCCTTCTGAACAGTTTCTTTACACTTCACAATATCTATTGTACATTTTGGGTCTTACTTACTCTTTTGGCTTCTCACATCAGGGAGATAATATGATGTCTACATATGTATGTCTGATTTCTTCCACTTATGAGTATGGTCTCAAGTTCTAGGTGAATATCTGGTGAAGGACTTTCCCATGAAAGCTAATCCATAAGTACAAGAAAGAGTTTTGTTTCTTCAACTATGTAAATAAAGCTACAAGGAACAGGAAGAGTCAAAAACACATAACGAAATAGAGGAATAAAATGAGCCTCTAATTCCTTACCTAAAAGAAAAGAGATCTGTGAAGTAGCAAACAAAAAACTTAAAATAATCACCTGAAGAGCTAGAAGAGAACAAAATAATACATGAATAAAAATAAAAGTTGAATAAAGATATATAAAAACTATGAGAACAAACCAAATAGACATTCTGGATCTGAAAAGCATGATTACTGAAATGAAAAATCTCACAGAGAGCTTCCAAAGGACATTCAATCGAGCAGAAGAACCAGTGAGCTCAGAGATAGGTCATTTAAAGTTATCCAGTCTGAAGAAAAAGAAAAAACAATGAAAAAGAGTGAAGAATGCCTATGTATTTGTGGGACACCATCAAGCACGATTTACACAATATGGGAATTATAGCAGGAACAGGGAAAAAGAAAGGGACAGAAAGCTTATTTAATGACATAATGAGGAATACGTTTCAAATCTGGAGAGAGATGAATATTCAGATTGGCAAAGGCCAAATAAACCCAAACATATTAAAGAGATCATCACTGAGACAAATTATAATGAAAATCTCAGATGTCAAAGCAAGCATTTTGAAAGCAACAAGACAAAAAACTACTTATCACATACAGGGGAAGCTCAGTAGACTTCTTAGCAACAACAACACAAATCAGAAGAGAATGGGTTGGTACAGTCAAAGTGCTAAAAGAAGAGGGTAAACACTGCCAGGAAAGAATACTGTGTATAGTGAGACTGTCCTTCCTAATTAAAGAGACAAAGACTTTCCCAGACAAACAAAAACTGTCTGAGTGAAGCAGTATTCTTTGCTATCACAAGCCATGATCAAACCCCGACCTTGCTGCCTGTATTCAGCACAGAACTCAGTAGTCTGCTTACTTTCCCCATCTACCAATGTACACCATGATACACCTCAGCTTGGATGGTTGCCATAGCCTTAGATGGACAGACAAAGGGGTCTCCGGAGCAGGGAGGGGAACCTCAGAAACTCACAGGCCACAAAGCTGGGCAAAAACGCTATGACTTAGGATGTATAGAAACATGGAAACTGGGAGCTGCCAGTGATTATAGCTCTGTGGTGGACCACTGGCCAAACACTCAGCATTAGCATTTACACAAAAAAATGTGAATATGCAAAAAAGGTCTTAGCTTTAGAGAGGTCTTGGTATTAGATTCCAGCACTGCAGACCCTACAAAGAAACTAATCCTGCAAAAACAGGAAGGAAATTTTTTTGGACTCTTTTATGCTTGTTTTTTCTTCATCAGGTTTTGGGGATTTGATGGGGGTTGTTTTGGGGTTTTTTTATTTGTCTTTTATTTTTTGAGGGTTTCTTCATAGTATTTTGTTTTTCTTTTCTTTTTTCTCCTTTGTTGTTTTCTCATATTTTTATCTAATTTTATCAATTTTCTTTTACTCCTGAATAGGATCCTTTATACACTTCTCTCCTCTTTTTTATCATCCTTTTCTTTGTTTTTCAAATATTACTTGTTTTATTCTCCCATTAACCATCATTTCCATCTTTACTAGTATAGCCATTAAGCTTTCTTAATCTTTAGATAATTAGTAAACTCTATGCTATTATCGCTGAATTCTTTTCCATTGTTAATAATGGTACAGTTATTGAATTTAGTAAATATTTACTGTATATCAAAACTTTGCTTCTTTTTGCATTTTCATTATAATTATAGATCTCTTTTCTATGATTAAGGAGGGTGCTGTGGTAGTGTTTATTGGTTATTCTGGTATGTTAATATTCAGTTTGTCTTTGACTTTATTACTGTTGTGATATTATTGCTACACCAAGGTGGCATAGTTGTTGCTATTTGTTTTTTGCTGTGTGTCAGTGTCTGATTTTTCTCTGTATCATCAATAATACTGCAATTCACTTCCAGAGAACTGGGTGCTAAGCCTAATATACTGTACATTCTTCTCCTAAATTAATTAAGGTGATTTGACATTGAGACAGAGGAAAAGGCTTATAGTGAGTCATGCACAGATTGCATTACTAAACAGCACACATTAACTAAGGAAGTATCCATACTAGCAAAAAAGTCCTCAGACCCACAATCCCCAGCACAAAACAGACAGTAGAAACATGAGAAGACAAATGCAAAATGCCTGAAAAAAATGAGTATAGAAGGAACTTATCTCAATCTGAAAAAAGTCAGTTATGATAAATCAGTAGCCAACATCACAATAAATGTGCCAAGCTGAAAACTCTCCCTCTAAAATCAGGAATAAGACATGGATGTTAACTATCTCCACTTCTGTTCAATATAGAAATTGAAACATTAGCTTCAGAATATAGTTCTTCTCAAAAGCACATGTAACATTTTTCAGGTTGGATGATGTTAAAGCCATAAAACAAATGGAAGAAAATATAAGTAAATGGAAAAATATGTGTTCACAGATTGAAGAATTACTGTTATTAAAATTTCACTATTACTCAAAATAGTCTACAGATAAACTCAGTCCCCATCAAGATACTAATGGCATTCTTCACAGAAATAGAAAAAAAATGTAAAGTTTATATGGAACATAAGATTCTAGGTACTCAAATCTAGAGTAAATCTTGGATAGAAATAATGAAGCTGTAGGTATCTTACTTCAAAATATAATGCAAAGCTATAGTGACCAAAACAATATGGCACAGGCATGAGAGGCAACACATGAACAAGTGGTACTGATACAGATCCAAGAAATTAACCCACTAGGTAACTGACTTTCTATCAAGTGACAGAAACATACCCTGGACAGGAAAGTCTTCAAAGAGCTGTGCTGGGAAAGATACACACCCATATAAAAAAATAAAATTAAATCATTATCTTTCACCATATATAAAAATCAATTCAAAATACATTAAATACCTAAATATAAAATATAAAGCTATTAAGTGAAAATACATGGAAAACATGTTAATGCATTAGCATAGCCAAAGGTGTATTGGATGCGACCTCAAAAGCACAGGCAACAAAGGCAAAAATACACAAATAGGGCTCTATCAAGCTGAAAAGCTTCTGCATAACAAAGGAAAAAGTCAGCAAAGTGAAGACCTATCCTGCCAAGTGGGGGAAAATATTTGCAAATTATCCATCCAACAAGGGATTAAATTTTAGACTATACAAAATCTGAAACCCAAAAATGGGTAAATGGTTTGAATAGCCACTTATCAAACAAGAACATACTAATGGCTAGTAAATATATGAACAATATATTTACT